TTATCTTGTTTAGAAAATGCCAGTACAGTGGAACCTCCGAACCTGCATTAAGCACAATTGCAAAGGACTAGTGTTTGAAAATTTCATGAAATTTAAATAAATGAAATATTTCAGTATTTTAATAAATGATGTATTATTTTTAAATAAGTTTTATATTTACATATAGTTGTCATAAATTACCTTCGCATAATTGTATTGTACCTATATGTAAACCTATACATTATTGTATCAGCCAATAGCTATATAGCCATTAGCCATATAGGTAAATATTATATATTATACAATAGGTTAGAGTATTTGTTAGAGAACAAGGGCTGGATACTTAAAATGTATTATTAACTTTAGTGTATTTTATATACTGTCCTATGGTAGATATTTATGAGGTAAAAAAACATCATATTTCGCGGGGTTAATTTGTCTATAGCCTCAGCTCTGTATTATAAAAAAAAACAACTAGAAAAAAAGGCCGGGCACACTCATATGTAAAACCCTGGGTCCGCCTATGCAAGTGGGTGTCGCTCTGCTGTACAGTACCGTAGGTATTGGGGTGACTGTTATAGCTGGTATTAAATTTGAATTCGATGTTATTATATAATTGTATAGGAAAAACGATTCTGAGCGACTTAGTATATTACTAAGTATATTTGATGATATTATTGTGAATAAAGTAATTTATTTACTTATTTACGTGGAACCTAAATTTTCAATCCTTAACTAAATCATTTTTAAATTTTAAATTTGATCAATTTTGTCAAAATTCGAACTTTAAAATAAATGCTTGTAAAAAAATTTGTGGCAATATAAATGAGTCGCGACGCGCGTCGGCTCTCTGTTTTTTTTTTTTGATAAAAGTAGACAAACATTTACAATTTGTATTTATTGATTTCTTTAATAATATTATAGACTATTTATAGTATAATATACCTTTTACATTTTGTGTTCAAAAACCATACTAATGTAATAGAAGGTTATCGTACCTAATTTTAATAATAGTAAGAACAAATTCCAAGCAGTCATAAAATAAACTCATAAATATGAAAAATTGGTAATCTTGATATCCAATGCACAAAATAGTTTTTAGCAGTGGCGCGTGTATTTTTAAACATATTTACGGGTATACGCACCTAAAAGTAAATGAATTTACCTACTTCAAACAATTGTCTCGATCTGCTCAAAAAAATCAGGATACTTAGTATTTAATACAGAGGGGTGTTTACGATTTTGGCACCCTTTGCCTCCCCTAAATACGCCTCTGATATAATAATCTTTTATCTTTTATTACAAACACTTACCCTTCACGTGTATGTGTATCAAGTATCAGTATCTAATGTGTTTTTTTAATTAATGCAATTCATAAATATCATAATGAATACAACTTTTTATTATAAAACTTAACAAAAATTGTACAGTAAAATTATAGACTATATTAATAAAATAATAAACAACTTTAGATAATATACAGTATTAATTACTTATTAGTCAATATATTGTCTATTTATCTATGTAAATAACATATCAAAATTCAAATATTATAACAAATCATTTTAAAGAATTGACAATTATTGTCCATAAACTTCTTTTATAGGCATCTGTATTTTCTTCATTATGTTTAGTGATTTTGGTTCTAGTGTCATCTATATTGTCTACTGATCTGTATTGAACCAACCAACTTTTAACATAGGACTCTGGTCCCCATAAATTAAGTAGAGATCCATTCATAATATTTCTATGATTAATATTCTACATCATATGTATACCTAATATCGGTGCAATTTAAATTTAAAATTAATTGAAATGTAATAAAAAACTAATAGTTCGATTTTTGATAATTTGGTTTGACAATAGCACAATAAATAAACTATTATACTGCATTATATTATCGCCATTACCTATCATTTAGTTTGAAATTACACATACGTGTAGGTATATGTATATATATATATATATAGATATAGATACCTATATATTATCCATAATCGTACACGACTTTTTGACTAGGGATCTATTTTAGATTCTGAGGGAAACGATGAATGTATTGATTTTACATCATGTGTGTTTTTTTTTTTTTTTTTGTGTCTGTCATCACTTTATAGGACAGTAAAGTGGCTTGGATTTTCTTCAATAGTATCTTTTCTGATAAGAAAGTGAATCTAGTTGGTACTTTGGGGGGTCAAAAGTAAAAATTTCCTAGTAGTTTTCACAAGCGCCGGGAAAAACATCATAAAAATTAAGGAAAACAGGAATTTTTACGCAAAATCGGTTTTCCAAAAAATAGATTTTGGTTTTTGGTGTAACTCTTAAACAAATGAACATATATATATACATACATGAAATTTTCACTGGTTGTTTATATTTGCATTTTATATACACGATAACATTTTCAAAATATTTTGATTTATTTTGAACTGTTTAGGGACATTTTCATTTTCCATTTTTTTTAGTTTTGAAAAATATCAATAAAATTGTATTTGTTGCTTGCGAAAGCTTGAAAATTTAATAGAAGGCTCCTAGTATATTGTTTCAAAGGCAGATGAAAAATATTAAAAATCCTTTGTCACAATTTTTTTTTTTAATCATTTAAAGTTCAAAAATTGACAAAATATGGAAAAATCACGAAAATTAGCAAATTATTTTGAGTTAAGAATTCGTTAAAATTTTTCTTTTTAAATCTAAGATTTGAAAATGTAATACAAGATTCCTTATAAGATTATCTACCTTTATCAAAAAAAACAATGTCTATAAGAAAGTCAAATTAAATTTTTATGAGCGTTTGAAATTCAAATTTTTACAACATTGGATATTCACTCAATTTCTCATGTAGCGATTTCCTTATTTTGTTGTAATTCAAAAACGAACAACTGTAGATACATGAAAATTTCACTAAATGTTAATATTAGCAATTCCTATACAACATACAATTTTAAAAATATTTTGACACTTTTTGAGCTGTTTATGGACATTTACAGCTTTCAATTATTTTTAGTTTTTTTTTCTATAAATATTAATAAAGTTTTATCTGTTGGGCCAAAAAGTATAAAAATGTAATACAAGGCTCTTGATATATTGTTACAATAGCAATTGAAAAATATTATAAATACATAGGCACAGTTTTTTTTCATAAGCATTTAATAGTCGAATTTTGACAACATTTATGAAAATTAATCGAATATTATCAATAATTGTAATTAATAAATTATAAAATGTTCAGTTTTTATAGCTTAGGATTACAAATTTAAAAAAAGGTTCAAAAATCTAATAAATAGTTCATCCTGTAACCAAAAAATCTAAAAAATATATGAACACAGTTATTTTTTACAGACATTTTAAATTCAAATTTGGACGAAATTACATAATAAAAAACCTAGAATAACTATTTTAGTTATTTTGTTGTGATTGTATAATATTATTCGAGGGTATACTGGAAACTTCTAAAGTATACTACTATATATCTATGATAGTATCAGGGTTTGTTTTTGGTGTATAACGCGTTATAAGTACCTAATGGATATTGTGATATGATTAATTTGGAATTCATTATAGGTCAATTTTTTTTAATACCATAGATAATATAAGTATATAATATGTTTTATACCTAGAAGGACATACTGTCTCCTCTCAGAATCGTTTTTCTTATACAATGATATAATATCATTGAATTCAAATGTAATACCATTCATTATACAGTGACCCACTTTTAACCTACTGTACAGCAGTGCGACACCCACTTGCCCACCTTTTTAACTATTATAATATCCATACACGTCATACCGTAACCGGTATAAAATTCGGTGTATACACGATATACCTACCAGTGGTTTACAATGTTTTTTTGGAACCTCTGATACCTGTACATTACTTGTATATATCCTCGGCAGTTTCCGATCGTCTTCGCAAGAACCCGAAGCCGGGTAATATGTAATCGAACTTCATGCAAGTACGAGGCTGTTTTTGGACAGTGTATAGTGTACTTTGTGTCATAATAAAATATTAATAATTGTATATTAGTATTATTATTTTGAACTTTGGTTTGGTGATATTATGACTGGTGATAAATTGGAAGCGTGCGTATACCCATATAAGACTAATTTTCTTAGGTATACTCATAAGTCCAAAAATAGGAATCCGAGTATACGACGCATATACCCTATCCAATAGTCCACTTTTTAGAATATTCCATAATTTTTGTTGACTGTTGAGTTAATTTAATGTAGGTATACATGGTTTTTACTTGTTTCTGATCGGCTGTGCAGGTGGCATAAAACACGACGTTTTATATAATAATAATAATATTATTGTTATACACATTTTATTATACCTATAGCGTATTTGTGCATAACATACTGTTTCAGACGAATTAATCTATATACATAGTATAGGTATATAATAATTATTTTTTATATATGCATTATAGGTAGATACATAATATTTTAATATTTTGTATGTCCCATGAAATTACCATAATGAAAACATAGGTAATATTATACGGGCGTGTTTCTACACTGCCCGCTGACGACGACTACAACTGCAGCTATACATATTATTATATTATGTTATATAATAATATATAAATTATAAATTATATTGGGCACCATTATCGATGTCAATTTTATAACTAATGTACCTTCCATACAGATACAGATAGTATACTGTAAACACAATCAGGGTGTCTCACCCGCATGTGTTGTATCGTCTTGCTGGTTCAGACTATTTTTTTTTTATAAGCGTTTTGTCGGCGACCGATAATCGATTGCCGATCGGTAAACGACTGCGACATATCTAAATAACATATAAAATGCATTATTGGGGCCAGACTAGACCGATTCTCCGAACGCTGTTGCAGTTTGGTATCCATCGTGCACAACATTATACATACATTTGTACGGTACCGTTTACACTGAGCGTTTTTCGGTTGCCGTTATTTTTTGAATTGGCAGTTTTCTAAAAATAAGTACTTATAATATATTTAATTAATTATATTTCTTTTCCATTAAACCATGAACATGTATCAAACTGAAAAATTAATAACTGAGGTCCAAAACTATCCATGTATTTGGGATACGACCTCTGATGAGTACATGAATGAGGAACTAAAAATATCAGCTTGGTTGAAAGTAGCCGAAGCAGTATATAATTTGGAATGGGAGACCCTAGGACCTCTCGAAAAAGAAGAAAAAGGTAAGACAATTAATTCATCTGTTATGAATTTATGATTATCAATAGGTTAAGTAGTTTTAAATAAATAAATAAATAAATAAAATAATACTATTGACCAAAATTGTAAAAGTAATTATCCAAATAAATAATAATAGACCTTAAACATAGGTATCCGTATCTTTTTATACGACTATACTAATATGGATACTTTACCTGGGCACTTATCAGTTATCAGTTATAATAGCAGCACAAATTATAATAATAATAATAAAGTATCATAATATTATATTATAATATGACGTTTTACTATACAAAATAATAATTATTTGATTCATATAATTTATACAATTAAATTCAATTACATATATATGAGTATATAGTATGGTGATATCATTTACACAAAAAAAAAAAATTAAAAAGTCGTTATATATTAAATTAAATATATACCTAGGTACGTTTTTCTAAACCATTCTGTATTGGAACGGTACCGCTCCATCAGCCATTGAATAATCAGCGAAATTGTCTCTAATTACGTCTATTCCATTTCTGTTAACATTTCTTCCATGTGTTGTCAAATTATCCAAATTATGCACATCAGTTTCTTAATCACAATTATACCCATCTCTCTTACGAACAAAATAATGGAGAACACAACATGCTTTTATAATATTATCACAACAATTTGGTGATCGGAATTTTAAAATCGTCGGTGCAATAATCGCTATTTGTCGGCCAAAACTTCGAAAGCACATTCGACGGTACGTCTTGCCCTCGATAACCTGTAGTTAAACACCCGACGCAGACACCACCTGAGAATTTCAATAATTTGGATTTTTCAAATTAAAAATAAAATATGAAAATACCTTCCCTGTTAATTTATTATTTTAGATTCTGAGTGGATTATGATTGTATTGATTTTATAATGATACGTGTTTTTTTTTAATTTTAAATTTTTTTTTGTGTCTCATCACCTTTTAGGACAGTAAAAGTGCTTGGATTTTCTTCAACAGTATCTTTTCTGATAGGAAAGTGAATCTAGTTGGTAATTTGGGGGGCCAAAATATAAATTTCCCAGTAATTTTCAAAAGCGCCGTGATAAACAAAAGAAAAATTAAGGAAAAACGGGAATTTTTACGGTAAATCTGTTTTCGAGAAAATCGATTTTGGTTTTTGGTATAACTTTACAAAAAATGAACGTATATACATGCAATTTTCACTGGTTGTTTATATTTGCATTTTCTATACACGATAACATTTTCAAAATATTTTGATTTATTTTGAACTGTTTAGGCAAATTATTTTGAGTTAAGAATTCGTAATAATTTTTCTTTTTAAATCTAAGATTTGAAAATGTAATACAAGATTCCTTATAAGTTTATCTACCTTTATCAAAACAAAAATGTCTATAAGAAATTCAAATTAAATTTTTATGAGCGTTTGAAATTCAAATTTTTACAACATTTGATATTCACTCGATTTCTCATGTAGCGATTTCCTTATTTTGTTGTAATTCAAAAACGAATAACTGTGGATACGTGAAAATTTCACTGAATGTTCATATTAGCATTTTCTATACACTGTACAATTTTGAAAATATGTTGACTCTTTTTGAGCTGTTTACGGACATTTTCAGTTTTCAATTTTTTTAGTTTTTTTTTTCTATAAATATCAATAAAGTTTTATCTGTTGGGCCAAAAAGTGTAAAAATGTAATACAAGGCACCTGATATATTGTTAAAATAGCAATTGAAAAATTTTAAAAATACATAGGCACAAATTTTTTTTTAAAAGCATTTAATGATCGAATTTTGACAAAATTTATCAAAATTAATCGAAAATTATCAATCATTGTAATTAATAAATTATAAAATGTTCAGTTTTTATAGCTAAGGATTGCAAATTTAAAACAAAGGTTCTCATAAATAGTTCATACTGTATCTCAAAAATCTAAAAAATATATGAACACAGTTATTTTTTACAGACATTTTAAATTCAAAATCTTAGGTAATCAGTATACATTATGAATCCTTATATTTTTAAAAATTCATCATAATGATATTATTAAATTAGGGTTATTTTCACTAAAACTATTTTGCACCTAGTGCGCTACTTATCTGCTGGCGTGCATGACCCGACGAGTACCTACTATTAAGTCCACTACATTAAAATGGTCGTAACAGATTGCGCGGAGATCAAACGCTTTATCAGCAACAAAAACAAATGGTTGAATATTGTTTTCAGTTAAAGGCAAGCATCTGGGTCCTGAATGTAAAGTTGTTGCGACTATAATATTTTTCCAAATACACTCTGACGAAAAACGCTAGAATCGGCTTCACAATCATATGCACCTACGTCGATGTATATGAACTTTAAATTGACATCGACCACTACCATTAATACTTTTGAAAAATATTTTCATAGTTGTAGAACAGAGAGCCTGCAGAGTTTTCTGAATTTTTGCATCTGACGTGCTTACCATCTATAGGTCCAAGACAGTTTGGAATATTGTTTTTGAATAAAAAGTTTTAGAAATATCTATCCACTTTATTTGGTTTTGACATTTCTGTAGGTTGTAGAACTGACCATAAAACCTGGCATGTCTCTCTTACAATTCCGTTTATTGTACTTTTTCCAATACGAAAGTCGAAATGCAATCCAGCGAAATGTGCCGCAGTTGATAAGTATCTATTAAAATTTAACAAAAACTGTTTTGAGTAGGTAGGTAATAAAATGTTTGGATATCTTTCAATGTCATACAATGGCGTATTGAGGTTTTCGTCTTGTGGCCTGGGGAGGGGGATATGATTTTATCCAGTAACCCCGAATTTCAAGTTCGGTGCCTTAAGTTAGGTCCCAAAAACATTATTGTATATTGAATACCTAATATACCTATGGTGGGGGGGGGACGGTTGATCCCCTTGATCTCTCCCCGTAAATACGCCACTGCAGGCATCATGCAGTAATTATTGGAATGTTTTATTAAGATTCATTATTATGATAAAAAACGATTCTGAGCGAAGACAGTCTAACTTTTTGGTAACCAAACAGTTATATATATTAATATATATTTTTTAATATATTTTAATAATATTAACATTTTAAAAAAATATTCAAATATTTATTTTTTTAGTTTTCTTGATTGTTTTAAAAATAACTAAGAATTTTTAGTCTAAATAGGTATAAGAAAGTGTCTTCACACACAAAAATAAAAAACACATCATTCTAAAATCAATATATTCATACTCAAATACACAATATTTCTACGCTCAGAATCGAAAAATCACTTTATAATTTACAATAGTGTAAGTGTTAATACATGATATAAAATATAAATTACAATAATTTCTAAATATTATATTTAATTTAGCAAAAGAGTTAAAGAATAAAAAATGGAAACTTGTTCGTGATACATATTTAAAGTATATTTCCGAAGAGAAAAATATTAGAAGTGGATCGAAAAAAATACCTTATGCTTACGCACATATTATGTCGTTTTTAAATACGACTACCAACAAAAGGAAGTAAGTGCATTTATTAGTTAACATTTTTTTTTTTTTAATTGCTCATTTAAAATTATTTTAGATTAAATGTTTTTAATTATATAACTAGCTACTTATACAAGTAGGTACAACTGTGCCGAGTGATTTTCAGGAAAATTTTCGTCAGGAACAATAAAATTCAGGAAAATATTTGTTGGGAATGCTTTTGTGATGAGAAATAATATTAACTAGAAATCACTTCTTAATAAAATTAAATTCGTGAAAGTATATTTTAAAGGAAAATTATTCTTAGGAATTGAAAATTGATAAAAATATAAGTCTGGAAATTAATATTTGGGAAAATAATACAGAAGAATTCAAAATCAGGAAACTAATAGGCACATAGGAAAATATTACACAGAAAAATAAAAGTCAGAAAAATATTAGATGCCCAAAAAATAATAGACAGGAATTTAAATTCTAGGAAATATTTACACGGGACAATAAAATTCAGAAATAATACTTTCCTGTGTAGCATATTTTCCCGGTTTTGAAATTCCCGTGTATTATTTTTCTGATTTTTAAATTCCTATAAATTGTTTTCCCATTTTTTTACCTCTATATACCTTTATTATGTACATTTATGTTTGTATAGGTCAATTTTACGCATTAGTTTGGCTTTTGAAAAAGCCGACTGGATCCCGCACTTAAGAATTTTGTTGCAATTCAAAAAATATTAACCACACGGAAACTTTTAACATTCAACTGTTACTTGTTTCATAATTTTTAATACTCAACGATATTTTAAAAATATTTAGATTTATTTTTTAGCAATGGCCAGCTATTTATGAGTCTATATTAGCTATGAAAATCAAGCAATCATTATTATTAATTTAATCAATAATTTTAGACATACACATATATTTTATTTTTAGAACAACTGATTATTTTGAAAATGTTGAAGACGAAACAGGACGTCACAGTTCAGACGATATGGATGTTGATACCCCTGACACACCAGCTAACGTGCCATCTACTTTTACTAGTCTAAATCAAACACAAAAAAAAAACAAAAAATATCCAATAACTTCATGTCGAAGTAAATTATCTGATCACCTAAAAAAAAATCAAGAAATTACATCAAATCCAGACATGAGCATTGTTATGTCGTTTCTTCCCTACATGAAATTATTAAATGAGGAGCAAAAATTAGAATTTCACCTTAACAGCCTTCAATATTTAAGACTTATTATAAAAAATCAAAATCCACCCATACAACAAAACGTACTACATGAACCACAAAATCTGTATCCCATTCCAACTGCTCTTTTAAATTTTAATAATTATACAATGGACCAAAACTCATCTTCTAACTTACAATATAATTTCAGTCCTTACTTGAATGCTCAACCATACCCATAATCATATCAAACTTAAAAATGACAAATGTCATGTATACACAACCTAATTATCCTCATATTGCATCATCCTCTGATTCAGACCACACTGTTCAATCCACATTCACGCGTCACGCCTACGTCATCGTCCCAACCATCACCGCCAAACCAGACACAATAAACATTTTGTATTGTATTATATTTTTTTATTATTTTGAAATATTATCAAAAAAAATTGTGACATACAGTTTAAAAAGAGTCAAATTATTTTCAAATTTGTATGGTGTATAGAAATGCTAATATAAACATTCAGTGAAATTTTCAAGTATCTAGACTCTAGAGTCATCCGTTTTTTAATTAAAACAAAATAAGAAAATCGTAACATGAGAAATCGAGTGAATATCAAATGTTGTAAAAATTTGAATTTCAAACGATCATAAAATTTTAATTCAAGTTTCTTGAAAACATTATTTTTTTTGATAAAGATAGACAAACTTACGAGGATTCTTGTATTACATTTTCAAATCTTTGATTGAAAAAGAACATTTTTTATGAATTTCAAACTCGAAATAATTTGCAAATTTTCGTAATTTTTACGTATTTTGTCAATATTTGAACTTTAAATGCTTATAAAAGAAATTGTGACTATGGATTTTTTAATTGTGTTCATCTGCCTTTGAAACAATAGACTATAGGAGCCTTCTATTAAATTTTCAAACTTAAATCAAAATCGAATATTGGTTTTTGGTGTAACTCTAAAACAAATAAACGTAGAAACATGACATTTTGTCCTGGTTGTTCATAATAGCATTATATATTGTATATATCATACACTGTAAAATCTTCAAAATACTTTGATGTATTTTAAACTGTGTATGGACATTTACAGTTTAAAATTTTTTTAGTTTTTTTTTCTATGAATGTCAATAAAATTTTATTTATTGGGTAAAAAAGCATAACAATTTAATACAAGGCCCTTAATATTGTTTCAAAGGCAGATGAAAACCATTAAAAATCCATAGTCACAAGTTTTTTTATAATCATTTAAAGTTCAAATATTGAAAATATACGTAAAAATGACGAAAATTTGAAAATTATTTCGAGTTTAAATTTCATAAAAAATTTTCTTTTTAAATCTATGATTTTAAAATGTTATATAAAATTTGTCATAAGTTTGTCTACCTTCATCAACAAAAAAATGTCTCCAAACGAATCAAATTAAATTTTTATGAGTGTTTTAAGTTTGATTTTTGACAAAATGTATCAAATTTAAAATTTAATAATTATTTTGTAGTTAAAAATGTATAAAATATTCAACTTTTATTATTAAGAATTTAAAATTTAAAACAAGGTTCCACGTAAATATGTTATATATAAATTACTTTATTGACAGTAAAATAAATGACATTTTAACTAGTTGTTTACATTCGTATTTTCACACACACTAAAATTTTCAAAACATTTGAATTTTTTTTTGAACTGTTTAATGTCATTTTTAGTTTCCAATTTTATTAGTTTTTTTTTTCTATGAATGTCAATAAACTTTATTTGTTTTGTACAAAAGCTTGAAAATTTAATATAAGGATCCTACTTTCTTGTTACAATAACAAATTAAGAAAATTTGAAATCCTTAGTCACAGTTTTTTTTTTTTTATAAGCATTTAAAGTTCAAATCTTGACAAAATACGGAAAAACCAAGAAAATTAACAAATTATTTTGAGTTAAGAATTCATTACAATTTTTCTTTTTAAACCTAAGATTTTAAAATGTAATAAAAGATTCCTCATAAGGTTGTCCATCTTTATTTGAAAAAAAAAATGTTTACAAGCAAGTCAAATTAAATTTTTATAAGCATTTGAAGTTCGTATTTTTACAATATTGGGTATTCACTTATCATGTAATAATTTCCTTATTTTGTTGTAATTCAAAAACGAGTAGCTTTAGATACATGAAAATTTCACTGAATGTTTATATTTTCATTTTCTATACACGATAAAATTTTTATAAATAATTTGACTCTTTTTGAGTTTTTTTTTTTATAAATAATAATAAAATGTTATTTGTTGGGTAAAAAAGCGTGAATATTTAATACAATGCTTCTGATATTGTACATGAGCACAATTTTTTTTATAAGCATTTTAAGTTCAAATTTTTACAAAATGTATCTAATTTAAAATTTAATAATTTATTTTGTTGTTAAAAATGTATAAAGTGTACAACTTTTAGGCATAGCTAATGATAGCAAATCTACAACAAGGTTGCACGTAAATAGGTATTATATATAAATTACATTATTCACAATTATATCATCAAATATATTAAAAATATTTCCCATACGCTGAGTGAAACGACTCATAGGCATTTGTCGTTCGTTTGCCTGATATGTTACACGATGCCCAAAGGTACGGTGGAAAAGTTGCATATTCACCAATATATATATTATGTATCAACGAGGTATTCACAAAATGTATCAATTCGTTCGTCCATCTCTATGGTTTAATGCTCATAAAATCAACTGCGAAGCAACTGCCGACCTTTTCAGGTTCAAGTAGTGGTAGGCCGAATATCCACTTTAACCATTTTCCATTGCAGTGGCGTGCCCACGGTGGGGAGGGGGGATGTTTTCACCCCCCCCCCCCCATGGTACTTTTAGAAATATAATAGTATATGTACTTACATATAATTATAATAGTTTATTGGGAAAAAATCTAGTTTAGAATATACTCGATTTTTTCAATTTTTTTTTTTTGTTTTAATAAGTACCTATGTAGTTAAGCATACTGAAAACGATGAAGGTGTCTGAATTTGGTTTTCAGACTTAGTTTAAAGTTAGGGCTCCTTGAAATTGTTCTAAACATCCCTCGACGTGATATGTCAAAACACTATGAGTAAGTGTGAGAATTATTTATGGGTTATTTCAGAATTATTTATTTTAATTATTAATTTACAAAAGGTTTCAAAAAAAAAAAAATTGAAAATGTTTACCCAAGCACTGTTAACTATATATTATTATAAGCGTTGCACGTGTGCGCAAAACATCAAAAATCGTGAACTTCGTAAGGCTACACCGTAAAAACTAATGATTTATGGCAATTAATGGTTGCACAGGTTGCACTATTGTTCCAAACTGGTTGTATAATACATAGATATCTGACAACAAATTTTAAAAATTCACTTGAATGCTAATCAGCTTGATTTATAACACTCAATTTAACAAAAATTCTATTTAAAAAAAAATTAGTAATTATTACTTTATGTTTGTTTGTTATATATAGTGTTATGTTAAATTGTTAATTATTTCGTTCATCGTTGATAATAACTAATAATAGTACTATAGTAGTGAATAGGTCATAATAGTATTCAAAAATTAGCCTGTTGGTTTCAAAAAGAAAGTCTATAATTGGTACCTAATCAAATGCTAGTAAATTTGAACTGTTTAAGAACATTTTCAGTTTCCAATTTTATTAGTTTTTTTTTTTTATGAATATCAATAAAAATGTATTAGTTGGTTAAAAAGCTTGAAAATTGAATAGAGGGCTTCTAGTACATTGTTTCAAAGGTAGATGAAAAATATTGAAAATCCTCAGTCACAGTTTTTTTTAAAGTTTAAAAATTGACAAAATATGGAAAAATCACGAAAATTAGCAAATTATTTTGAGTTGAGAATTCATAAAAATTGTTGTTTTTAAATCTAAGATTTGAAAATTTAATACAATATTCCTCATAAGTTTTACAACCTTTATCAAAAAAAAAATGTCTTCAAGCATTTCAAATTAAATTTTTATGAGCGTTTGAAATTCAAATTTTTACAACATTGGATATTTATTCAATTTCTCATGTAGCGATTTCTTTATTTTGTTGTAATTCAAAAACGAATTACTGTAGATACATGAAAATTTCACTGAATATTTATACTAGCATTTCCTATACACCATACAATTTTGAAAATATTTTGACTCTTTTTGAGCTGTTTACGCACATTTTCCGTTTCCAATTTTTTTAGTTTTTTTATTCTATAAATATCAATGAAATTTTATTTGTTGGTTAAAAAAGCTTGAACATTTAATACAAAGATCCTACTATATTGTTACAATGGCATTTGAAAAATATTAAAAATACATAGGCACAATTTTCTTTTAGGAGCATTTAAAGATCGAATTTTGACGAAATTTATCAAATTTCAAATTGAATAATTATTTTGTAGTTAAAAATGTATAGAATATCAACTTTTATATCTAAGGATTGAAGATTTAAAACAAGATTCCACGTAAGTAATTAATTTAGTTACCAAAAAATCTAAAAAATACATAACCACAGTTAATTTGTATAGTCATTTTAAGTTCAAATTTGGTCGAAATTACATAAAAAAAAACCTAGAATAACTATTTTAGTTATTTTGTTGTGATTGTATAATACTATTCGTGGGTACTTGAAACCTTTGAAGTACATTATTATATATCTATGATAGTATCAGGGTGTGTTGTTGATGTATAACACTATAACGCGTTATATCTAAGTACCTAATGGATATTGTGATATGATTAATTTGGAATTTATTATAGGCACCTATTATAGCTCAATTTTTTTTAACACCATTGATAAGTGTAGAATATGTCTTATACCTACATACCGTCTCCTCTCAGACTCGTTTTTCTTATACAGTTATACAATGATATTATATCATTGAATTCAAATTGAATATCATCCATTATACAGTGACCCACTTGTAACCTATTTTAATACTGAAAATAACCAATTTGAAAAGCTGATTATAAGAACAATTTTGAAGGTAAAAACATAGGTCAAGTAGTATATTTTTTTAAACGTTAGCTTTCAAAAAACTCATATCTGCTGGACTTTCAGTCACTAAATTATATTTTCCACAACAGTAGGACCCAAAACATCAAACGTTTTTTCTCCAACTCATTCGGTTCACTGTAATCTACCTACCTCACCACCGCCTGCCTCATTCTGTTCTTTTCTTATAATACTAGATTTCCCTTTCGTATTTTATTAATAAATTAT